CAGGTTTGCAATGTGGCCACCAGGCTAATAGGTAGCTCGCCACCGTGAGGTGCACATTGATTTGATGACATATTAGATAGTTGGAGGCAATCGGCAATCAATGTGCACCATGATGGTGATCTACCTAGCGACATGGTGGCCACATTGCACACCTGACTGATAGAATTCAGTCTGCACCAAAGAAAGGACTAGACACGTCGCACTAGTTAGTTACTGGTGTCCAATCAAAATACCTACTACAGTCCTACAGGAGGTTAATCGCGAGCCCGAATAGTTCAGTGGTAACGTCTCTGACTACAGGCGGCACTGGGTGACGTGGGTTCGAATCTCAGAAGGGACATGAGTTCCTTCAAAGTTGCAGACACACCTTGCTGACTGGCGAGCGCCAACTAGCACGAAACCTGGGTCAAGCAAGGCTTCCTGCCGATTGCCTCCAACTATCTATTATCATTAAATGATCGATTATTTGTCAGTTACCTGAGGCAGATTTTTTATATCTCACGAAACTATGAGCTAAGTTTACTGCTCTATGACAACTCTGTGATGTTACCCGGATTCGAACCCGGGACCTAGTGGTTAGAAGTCAACTACTTAAACCAATGACTAATTCACATATGTAAAAATTATATTTGTAAAATCTCAGCGAAATTGAAATACGTAATTCCAATGTTTCGGTCGGCAAACTGGTCCGAAATTCTTCAGAGAGATTAATCAAAATTAAGAAAAGAAACAGAGGTTTATATATAAAGAGGACATCTCTTGTTCTGACAACGAACTCAGTGCTCGTTGTTCTTTAAATCCAGATGAAATTATGAAGGCACTGGGATTATGTCTACTCTCAACCTTATTTACATTTAGAGGGGTTCTTTACGGTCAATCAAAAGGCATTGCTATGGGATCAACAGTGTCGCCGATAGTTGCCCATCTGTTTATGCACTCATGAGTATAGATGCAATTATGAGATGATCTAGTCCTCCAAGAATGCGGTTACTAAGATTCGTGGATGATACCTTCGTCATGATCAGACGCAGCGTGTTGAATGAATTTTTTCATTTATTAAACAATATGTCAGAAATCATTAAGTTTTCCAAAGAGGCTGAATCCGACGAAAATGATTTGGCGTTCCTGGACTGTTCATCAGTAAAAATACAACCAGATGGTCAACTTAAAATAAACATTTTCAGAAAACTGACACATTCGGACAAATACCCAGACTACTTTTCAGCATATCCCCCTTTACCATCAAAGTAACTGTTGCCATGAATCTGATTAATAAAGCCAAACGTCTAGTTCGGTCGGTCGGTCGGTTTTCGACATAGAACTTTGCACATATGTGCGGCAGTTCAAGTCGCCACACTCCATGTAGCACACAAAGCAAGAGTAGAAATGCATACTATAGACAGTAAACAGAGGTGTGAGACAAAGGAATAGTAATAAAGAAGAACAAAACAGTTTCATCGGAAATCATAAGTCACAAGGAGTGAATGCATCTGCGCCATTGAGAACGATTTTGAGCCATGTCACCAATTGTTTCCAACCATTGGTTTTTACCGTCCCCAGGACCCCAACCAGTAAGTCTACATCTTCCTACGTGACTTAGACTAACTGTTGTGGATTTCATTGACTGGTGCCATGTTTTGGTTTGACCGCCGCTAGCTCTTTTCCAACCTGGCCCTATATCAGCAAACATTGCCCGTCGAGGAAGGCGATGACTAGGCATACGTAGAAAAAAAAGTCTAGTTACTGAGAAGGAAGAGATCAGCAGGGAACTAAAATTGGCTCAATCCACTCTTGTATCAAATAATTATCCCAAAACCTTCATAAGAAGATATTTAAAATGTGAAGATAAGGATGGATCGAAACCTGTCGCTAACAATTGGGTTAGTACGGCGTTGATTCCTTACCGCAAAGAAACGTCGGATGAGATAAAGTGAATCCTTAACAATCATGACATAAAAGTGTATTTTCATACAACTAACACCTTATATGCTCATCATCACTGGTGAAGGTTAATGATAAAGTAGAAGAAGACAACCAAGAGAATTGTGTGTGTGCCAGATCAAATGTGGGGATTGTGATGCCGTATGTGTAGGAGAAACTTTAAATAAATATAAGAGTAAAGGAGCATAAACAATGTTTAAAAGTGGTTCCAAAGACCTATGAAGACTTGAAGAAGCTAGAAAGCAAATCGGTGAATGCACTGTACTCGATAGAAACGGGAAACAAGATCGACTTTGATAGGAGAAAGGTTCTACAGAAAGGTGAGTCCCAAACGTTTGAACAGACGTGAAGGTGTGATGTTAGCTGACTGATGCATAGCAAGTCCTCATTAATAAATAAAAATGGATATGTATCACTGATTAATCATACTTGGTCTAAATTCCCGATGGTCTATATCTTCTTATGGAGAGGCTAACAAATGATTTACAACTGTTTACCCATACACACATACACACACCATTGTTTACCGCATATACGCTTATATATATTTTTCATATTCAGTTATCTACGACCATGAACTTTTAGTTGAACGTGATCACTAAAATTCCGATGAGAAGTACACTCTGTTTAAAGTATTTAACAAAAGTAGACTAATGATTGAAAGTCTGAGATCAAATTTTGATCACAACTCATAAAATTTTGAATAAGGCATTAAGAAGACAAATTTCGCGAGATGATATCGTCATTTCGTAGTTTCTTTACAACCGCTTTACAACTAACATGGTTAACAATAATAAAATAAAGTTCATGACAATTACTCAGTTAAATAAAAACAAAAGTACATACTAATGACCATAAAATTTTGTTTATTAAACATGTTGACGCCTGTTTCATGACTCATATGACTGGACAAAGATTTTTTAAAAAAAAGAGATGTTCCTTTTATATATAAACCTGTGTTATGTTAATTTCGATTAATTTCCCTGATGAATTTTAGACCAGTTTACTGAACGAAACATTGAAGTTACGTATTTAAATTTGGCTGAGATTTTACAAATGTCAACTTCTCACTCGGCGTCCAATTATAGTTTGAAACTTTTCAGTTTAGTCTTGATCACAATTCATATGAACCAATGACTAGTAGTATAAACACATGGTGACATATGCTACTTATATTAACTAATCAGTCAGTAGTATATACCATGATGCACTAATGCTGATTTTCTTGATTACAACTCACAGTATCAAGCAGATAGCATGTACTGTGATCTGAATAATTCTGCTTTCTAAAACAAACTGAAGTCGAATGTCACCTGGAATGGTGTGTAGTATGCAAATTTTACCGTTTAGAAAATCCAAGGACTGACTGACTAGCTTCAACATAGAACTTTGCACCGATGTGCAGCAGCACTTCGAGTCGCCACACTTCACTCAGCACACAAAGCCAGAGAAGAAGAAAGTAAAAAGAAATGCCAAATAGATACAGTAAAAAGAGATATAAGGCAAAATGAGAATAGTAATATAGAAGAACAACATAGTTTTTATTGGATATGATAAGTCACAAGGAGTGGATACATCTGCGCCAGCCATTGAGAACGATTTTCAGCCATAGCACCAATTGTCTCCAGCCGTCATTGGTGTTTACCGTCCCTAGGACCACAACCAGGAAGTCTGCACCTTCCTACCTGGATTAAACTAACTGTTGCGGCTTTCATTGACTGATGAATCCATGTTTTGGTTTGACCACCACTGACTCTTTTCCAACCTGACCCAATGTCAGCTAACATTGCCCGTCGGTCGAGGAAGGCGATGGCTAGACATGCATGCGTAATACATGTCCTAACCATCTCAGTTGCTGTAACTTCACAACCTCGTCGATTGATTTCCTCTCATGACCTAGAAACACTCGACGGATACCTAACATCAATATTGCTCACCTTATTAAAGCACCACTTAACACGGGAGATAGAACGTAGACACCTATGATCAAAGACAACTCTAGCTAGCCTTTTTATGTCTTCCACTCTCAATGGCCATGTCTCACAGCCATAAAGGAAAACGGAGCGCACTGCTGAGCTGTACACACACCCTTTGGTCGACAGCTAGTCAGATATCACGTCTACGTCAGAGACGGTGTAAAGTGGCATATGCGAAACTAGCCCTCTGTATTCGTGCTGAGATTTCGTCAGAGATCAACACGCTGCCGTTGGCTGATGCAACTTCCCAAATAAGTGAAGCGGTCAACACCCTCTACCACTTCATTCCCTATTTCTAAGCTAGGAGTCAATGTAGTCCTGTAGCATCATCTTACATTTGGCGGGAGGTAATCGCATGCCGAACATCCTCAGATTGCACTTCAAGGTGTTCAGAAGACTCTGCTCTATTTTGTCAGCGTCTTCACCTAGGAGACAGGACTATATTATCTGCATAATCTAAGTCAACGAGATTATTCCCTAGTGGTGACAAGTCAATCCCTGAGTCGTTGAAGTCACTTAGGGTTAATTTCATTAGTACATCTATGACGAAATTGAATAGAAATGGGGATAGTGGGCATCCCTGTAGGACACCACTAGTTATCACCACTTCAGATGACAACTTGCCGTAAGCTCTCATCTGGCTGACTGCATGAGTTCGAGTAGAGTGAGTGCCTTGACCAATGCAATGTATTTCCTCGGCAATCCCTTTACAGCCAGGCATCGCGATAGTACCTCTCGGTCGACAGAATCGAATGCCGCCTTTAAGTCAAAAAATATAACAATTGTTGGACGCCGCCGGTAAGTATGCTTATGTTCCAGAATCTGTCGAAGGGTGAAGATATGATCAATACACCCTCTTCCTGGTGTAAAGGCGGCTGTCTGATTCTCTCGTGTTTGTTCCTCCCGAACACCACTTAGTCTACGCATGATTATTGAGCCTAGAACTTTAGATACCATACCCCTGTGATTTATCACAGGAAGACTTCTCTCCCTTCTTGTATATCGGGATAATCAATGACTTAGGGAACAGTATTATAACAGAAGTGATAACGATAATAATAATGATAGTAATAAACCATTTACCTCTGCATCTGATAAACCTGCCGTTGTAGTATCTTTACATTCAGCAGTAGGATTATCTGCACCAATAGGAGCAACAGTAGCACTGGTAGCAGAAGATACAGGTTCTATGGCGATTTTCTTTTCGACGGACAGAATATCTTCCGGGTTAAGATCATCACTAGCACGACGTTTCTTTGAAGTGATTTTAGTTGCTGTTGCTGTTGTTGATGGTGGTGATGTCATTGAGAAGTCAAGATCATCTGTAGGTGATTTACTCGATGTTAAGTCCGCTGTTGTTGTCTGAGTTATACTACTAACATCAGTAGAATCACCATCATTAGAATCACCGAGTAGTTCAGCTTCATCACCAGGCTGTAAAATAACAAATTTATTGCCTAAAAAGAAGAAGAAAAACAATAGAAACATTCATTAAGACTGAAGAGGGACTCATTGCAGCACTCCAACCTTAAAGAAAATTGAAGAAAGATATCTCATGGACGCCTTCCAAAATAATGGATATCCGAGGAATTTCATCAAAAGATATATACCCCCAAGTCAACCTATCAAACCAAAAGCCCCCAAGGAAAGCACAAAGAAAATAGCCCTACCATATATAAAGCATATATCAGAAATCACTGCAAGACTCTTCAAACCTTTAGGAAGTGACGTCGCACACAAACCAACAAAATCACTTCACTCAGCTGGTTCTATGTCAACCAAAAGACTCAACAGCGAAAGATAAAACCAACATCATCTACAAAATAAATCGTAACAAATGAGAAAAACACTACATTGGCCAAAGTGGACGTCCCTCCTCTTCGTCTCCGTACCCATGAACATAAACTAGCTGTCAAAAGATATGACATCCACTCCCTCGCTCATATCACTGCATACAGACAACCACGGGCATTAATTCGATTGGGAAAATGTTCAAATATTAGACAGAGGAAACAACAAGTGAATCGACAATCAATAGACACATCGAAACTGACAAAATTCATCAACCGATAAGAAAGAAACCTCACACACACACAAAGAGTCAAAGTTCAAGTCAAAGAAACAATCAGTTCCAATACAAGTAGCCTAGAAGGTGTGAAAACACACAAAAACAACTAATCACGTCCAAGGTCACCACCAGGAGAGATGATTAATAAACTCGTGGAGAAATGTAAAAGCTCACTTCAACGAATTGAAGTATGCGCTGAAGATGTCACCTAGTAGGGTGATGAAAGCTTCGCAAATTAACTATCCAGCTCAGAGAACACAACCACATCAAAATTATAATTTGGAAGACAAAATAAGATTAAGTAACATTTTAATATCAATGATATGAAGATAGTGTAAAAATAAAACTATGAATGTTTGTCACACAATTGACAAGACGCACAACTATACAAGATATTTATATACTTTAAACTCTACTAGTAAGCATTTCGTGCTATAAAGAAGAGTCAATCTAGCGACATGAAGTGTACTTTTCAATGCACCATTGAGTTGTTGTGTTTCTTTTTTCGATTCTTGTTGATGATTTTTTCGCTTTGTACTCCAGGTAAAGGAAAACTAATTTCTTACCAATCTATTATGGGTACTTCAGGCGAAATGTTTCTCCTCCTTCCTATTTCATATGATGAACTCCGCCAAAACAATCTTAATATGAAGAGTAAGAAGGTTTTTTGACAGTGCCGGTACTAACTTCCTGAATGATACGGGACATTCAGTTGAAATCGGTCAAGCATCTTCAGAGTGCGGACTTCCCAGAACTTGATTGGTTACCGGATGCCCAGCGCTCTTCACCGGGTTGACTGTCCATTGGATGACAGTCTAGGGGAGATGGCTAAACCCTGATTCCAAACCTCCAAGGACTGGCGTATGAAGCTCACTGGAGCTCACCGGCAGACGTATGGACAAAGGGCTTGTTGGATGTCCTGGATGTCTGGCCTCATTCAAAAAGGCGTATGAACCGAACTCCGGTCACCGGCTGCCAATGGATAGTGGACTCCCTACTCCACTCCTACTGCCTTGCAGGTCACACTTGGTTGTGTAAAGGTTAGAGCTGCACTCTCAAACAAAAGGCCGAGCGATTCTAGGGACATCACTCGTACCAAATTCCCATGAAACCTCATGAACTCTCTTCATCAGATCGCCGCGCCTGAGCAGCGATGATTCGAGATGTTCATGAAGCCGGCTCATCCTCCCGTAGGAGATAGCCGAAGTAGAGTAAAGTAAGTTACCGGTTTGACATCAGTTAGAGAATCATTGGAAGGCCAGGGTGTACTGGAAAGCTGTTTCATCCCAGGCTGAGAATCTTTAGCAGTAAGCAGTCATCGGTGTCTGAACCCAGAACCTTTCAGTTATACGGGGAGCTGGTAGATGATTTAGTGACTGGAACCCAATTCAATGGTCCATGAATTCCAACCTTTGCCAAGTCGCTATATATATAGCGCAAACCACCAGCTGATGGATTCCAAAATAGAATGGAATGCACATCCTGGATTCCACTTCCAGTTGTCATTAAAAATGTACATTCCTCAACCGCAAACGATATTATGAAAGCGATTCAAAATGAGATGTAAATGTACTCGATTTAAATAAGTGTTTACAGAATTTCATCATGAGCTGAAATCGGTTAGAGAACAATTAGAAAACCTGGGAGTACTGCCAGACAGCTGTTTCGCCGTAGTTTGGGGCTCTTTGTCAGCAAGCACCCTCAGGGGTTCGAATCCGGGACCTTCTGGTTACAAGGCGAGCTCGTACTGGTCACGCATATCGTGAATCAGCAGAAGTTAGAATTCGTGGACTGGTCATTGGATCAGGTTCTAGTGGCTTAATGGCCTCCATTATGGATAATGCTCTACGAGCTCACCTAGTAACAAGAAGGTCCTGGTTTCGAACCCCAGAGAGTGCGTGCTGACAAAGAGCCCCAGACTAGGGCGAAATAGCTGGAAGAGTGAGTGCAACTACAGGCTCATGCCAATCTTGTAACAGTACTTTACACTTAAACGGCGCAAAACGTATACCATACTTACAGACACTGATTACCAACTGATTAAATGCTATTTGGGTAGCCTGCATGCTATCGCACAGTAAGACGATATCGTCTACATATTCGAAGTAAAAAAGTCTTTCTGCAGGAAGCAGACCTACACTACCACCACGTACATCTTTCAGAGCTGACTCCAGCATGTTACTGGTGGCAAAGTTAAGGAGAAATGGAGAGGTTGGGCAACCCTGTCTAACTCCAATGTTGGTTGGATTAAAATAAATACATTAAAAACTGAATTAACTTGATAATTACAGAATAAATATCCAGCTCGCCTTCGGATGGTTTAGGTGTTTTAAGTTTTGTTTGAAAAGACACGTATTCAACCAGGCTTGGACATTTCTCTTTTGTGCCGATAATGAGCACATCCTCAGAATTAGTAATTCAACCATAATGGCCAGTTAATTCCCAAAATCTTTCCCCCAAATAACCTTAACATTTCATTCTACTTAAATATACTGCTCATCAGAGCATATTTCTAAATAACTGATTCGTTTTTATTTGTATTTTGTTAACCGTACTTTCACATTAGATAGGGTATTGATTAAGTGAGTAATTGGGCTGGAATCTAATGTAATATATCAACAGAACAAACAGTCTGTCATTATATGATAAGGCATTTATGCTACCTGACAATATTCCTACGATCATTTACAGATGTATACTGTCTGTCTGTCTGGATTCAACGTAGAACTTGGCACCGAAGTGCAGCAGTTCGAGTTGCCACATTCCAAATAGCACACAAAGGTAGACAAGAAAATGAGTGATGACGAGAATCAATAGAGTTTTTACAAGAATAAGAGTGAAACAGAATGAGTAATGGTAGAAAGGAATATGAAAGATTACAGAGACTGAATACATCTGCGTAAGCCATTGACAACGATTTTGAGCCATGTCACCTAGTGTCTCCAGCCATTGATTCTTAGAGTCCCGAGGGCGGGCCCCAACCCGGAAGTCTGCATCTCCCTACCTGACTCAGTTTAACTGTCAAGGATTTCATGGATTGATGCCTTGTTTTTGTTTGGCCACCACTTACTATTTTCCAACCTGCGCCTATATCAGCTAGTAATGACCGTCGTGGGAGGCGATGGCTAGGCATGCGCAGCACGTGACCTAGCCATCTCAATCTATGTAACTTTATAGCCTCTTCGATTGATTTTCCCTCTTTGCTCAACACTACGCCTAACGTCAACATTACTTACCTTATTATACCATCAAACGCGAGAGAGAGATCATAAACATCTGTGGTCAAAAACAGACAATCTCTTCATGTCTTCCGCTCTCAATGGCCACGTCTCACCGCCATAGAGGACGGAGCGAACTGATGAGCAGTACACACGTCCCTTGGTTGATAGCCGGATGTCACGCCTACGCCAGAGACGGTGTAAGTTAGCGACTCCAAATAAATCACAAAATATCATGCCGGATCGGTCGGGGCCCGGATTAACAACGACTGCGCTTCCTGCTGCCGTGTCACAGGGCAGAAGTGATAAGTGTGCTACTGAGACACACCAAACGAAAAACAGATGTATACAACATTCATTAGGAAATTTTTTTATCATTTACGTAAAATGTGTTCTTGAAAAAGGGTGATGGACTTACCTTGCACCTCACTAATGCGAGAGATCAGTTCAGTTTTTGTACCAGTAGATGGCAGTTTATTTTCTTTACAAATTTTCTTTAGATCACTTAACTTTCAAGAGTCGGAATAAATGCACATTACTTATACCTTTAACTTGGTCAGATCTTCAATACCAGGTAGGGCTTCTGACATTTTGAAGTTTAGGTGAGATTAAATGTCACGGACAATAGAACTAAAATAAATAGAAGCAGAATTCCGTGTAAAGGGATAGACTGGGAAGGAAATATATAAATATATTACAATGAAATAAAAAATATTTACTTCCCAGAATAAAACATTCTAGGACTATGAATCCATAACATGATACAAATATCGTATTTATCTGGGATTCATGAAGTGGGAAGCTATTTACAAAACAAATTTTCCGAAGTCACGGGGAATGTAGGTGATTTTAGTCCACATTAAGAATGAGTAGCACCACAACTACCGATTTGCTACGTCATTATGTTTACCTGAATTAAATTATGTTAACGATTATACTTTACTTTACTTTAGTGCGGCTATCTCCTACGGGAGGATGAGCCGGCTTCATGAACATCTCGAATCATCGCTGCTCAGGCGCGGCGATCTGATGAAGAGAGTTCATGAGGTTTCATGGGAATTTGGTACGAGTGATGTCCCTAGAATCGCTCGGCCTTTTGTTTGAGAGTGCAGCTCTAACCTTTACACAACCAAGTGTGACCTGCAAGGCAGTAGGAGTGGAGTAGGGAGTCCACTATCCATTGGCAGCCGGTGACCGGAGTTCGGTTCATACGCCTTTTTGAATGAGGCCAGACATCCAGGACATCCAACAAGCCCTTTGTCCATACGTCTGCCGGTGAGCTCCAGTGAGCTTCATACGCCAGTCCTTGGAGGTTTGGAATCAGGGTTTAGCCATCTCCCCTAGACTGTCATCCAATGGACAGTCAACCCGGTGAAGAGCGCCGGAAATCCGCTTTCGCCCTCTCACTTTGGTGAAAAACACCTCCGCCACGTGAAGGCAGTGAGTAGAACTTCCTCAGGAGAGGCTATGTAAGACGCCCGGTCATATGGGAGCATTTCAAGAGGTGTGCGGAGGGGTGGCCAACCCGCAGCGCAAGGCACCCACCCCCGACCATCCTGAGGCTTTGGAGGCCTGTTAACGATTATGCTGTAGACACTAATAAATATATTCCTGACTTAGTTCTACATAAAACTTAATTACACTGAACAACTGGATGACACTATCTCTAACTGGTGAGGTAGGTAACGTTTTTCTCTCAACGAAACACGTCTTACTAAGAGGATCAACAAGCTCAAGGCCTAAATCAATAATATTTGAGAATGCAATCAGTACGTATAAATATATATAAGTCCGCATATTTCCCATCATAATGAAAAGTAAGACGTCGAAAGATACTAGCCGACACAACAAGTCATATGACGAAAAGAATACGAGAAATGTTATTTCAAAATATCATAACCTAATATTAATTCACCGATGAGTTGACGTCAATACCAGCAGTTTTCAGCCACATCAGCCAAAACCAATATAAGTTCGTGATATTTGCCCTGTAAACCGTGATTTCAGAAACAATAATTAACTACACAAACCATACTAATAGCTGCAGACTCTAGATAACAACACATTTTTTGATAACTCTGCGAACTTTAACAGTTGACTACCAATCAGTACTATGCTGCACAAAAAGAATTAATCTCTCGAATGGTTTCAGCTTATGACATAAGTTTTGTTTACAATTATTAAAAGACTAACTAGATTGAGAAAGTGTCATCACCCAAGTTCTGAACTTCCTGAGCAGGTAAAACAAAGCATTTCTAGAACTATATTCCCTAAATTAGATTATGAAATCGATAATCATACTCTAAGTTATGTAACTCAAACTCCAGAAGCTGCATGTTTGACCTACTGCTTTTAACTAGTTTGTAGGGAATCTGATTGAGGTTGACAATACTGTCCTATGAACGCAAAACTTGGGTAAGCGGAGTAAAATGCATAATACTTTGAGGCGATTCAGATGGAGCGTACTCTAATGGACATCGATAATGTGCATAACTGTGCTTAAAGAGCTATTTGCAGAAGGTAAGATAGTTACAGACACACCAAAGAAACAGTAAAATAATGAAAACAGCTATCAATTGGTAACTACAGAAACGAAAAAACCAAGGAACCAAACCAAAACTGATCAGCGAGTGTTACCGTAACGCACAGTACAAAAGTCCCGCCTCAACATTTGTCCAATCTCCCAAGCTCACAATGATACTAGACTGAACTTATCCAGCATGTTGGTTGAAATTTCGCTTGGGAAATTCTCTATGTCAATAAGTTTTCATAAAACTGTGTTATATGTTTTCTGGATTTATAGGAATTCTCATTGTCTGACAAGTCATGTTGGTGTCTGCGTCATGTGATCGGACTGCGACACACTCTTAGCTTATTGGTTGCAATGATAAGTGTTTCAGGTGGACTTTTTCAATAAGTCTCCATGATGAGCAAATGGGATAGTTGGAGGGTAATGTCATCCACACAAATTTCTTACTTCATGTAGAAGCTGCAGCTTTCGGCGTGGTATCACTCAAAGAAGACTTCACGTCTCAGGATATCACTGTGGCTATTTTCGTGTGAACAACAGTGCTGTTTGACAAAAGAATTCTATCAGTACACGGGAATCACCTATAAATGCTGACAGAAGCTTCTGTAGGAGAAGTTATCATGTAGATGTGTTTATTTTACAGGATGGGGTTGCTAGCCTCATGCCCAGCCTTTCTTCTTCACCAGCATTATTTCTGGCTTGGCGAGGTAAAGGTTATCTCTAAGTGGGTTTAATACATATTTACACTGATTGACGCAGTGCAATACGGGTTATGTGGATTCAATGTAAACAAATCTCTACTTTATTAATATTGTTCCATTTTCTGCTCAGCGACTGCTAGGCTGAAAAATGCAGATGGTTCTCATGATTACAGCAAGTGCATTGCAGTGGAGGAGGCAAAACTCGTTTGATTTTCCCCACCGTTTCACTTAATGCATTAATTCAGTGTGTGTATTATTATGTACATGGATTGTGTTGATTATGAAGACTGAATCTAGTCAGTTCTATTATTATCAATCTACAATCTGTTATACCATTTCCATAGACATTGTATGCTCAAGGCTGCAAGATTTTTGATCACCAGTAGTGGAGATGGATTTCTCTCGAAGTTTCCATTTACATGAAGCAGTACAGACGCAGTATAACGACTGAATGTCTAGGTTGGATTATATGACATTGCTATCCTCATCAACACAACAAGTCTGTGTATCTTACAATATTTTAAGTGTTTCTCTATGCTGTTAACAATGTGCATAGCTGTTTAGAGTCGAGGTATGTTCAACTTATATTTGATGGCTATAGTCTCCTAAGTCTGAGAATGTAATTTCCGTAGGATTTACAAAACCATGTTGACTAGGCTTTGGTGAGATCATGAATTAATTTCTAAGTTACACATTTGCAATACTTCCTTTAATGTAAACATATTTAGTGTGAAGTTGACTTACAGGTAACTTTGATGAGCGAATGACGCCTCAACAGTGTGGATATTACAGATATTGTCTTAAAATTGGAGCATAATCCTCTAGTACTGGAAAGCATATGGGGTCTACTGATGCATACGGCGTCAATATAAAAATCAACTGTAGACTACAAATACTTTTATTCACGTGAGAATTTTACTGAGTATTAATAGAACCAATGTAGCCACTTCGCATACCATTATGTAAAATTATCTTCCATAAATTCATGTTGTGCTAGTCTTTACATATGCTTAACTTTTTCAGGTATATGGAGGTTGTCGAATATGAAATCAGCGGAAATTTCAATCGGTCAAACTGACGCTAGTTCCCTTTGTCTGAATTTTCTTTTGTAAATTAATGAAATGCTTACTATACTCTTAATTTCTACTTCTTCTGGACTTATTCAATGTGTCGCTATACTATGGGCTTTCGTAATATGTGAATTCGGATTAATGCATGTTAAGCTTAGCTAGTATGATGGAGATTTACTATAGTATTGAGACTGTTACTTTAGTCATTCGTAAAATTTCGCGTATGTTTCTTTACAATAGCACATTATAAAAACTAGGTAGGATTTGACAAGTTGTATTAAATTCTGTGCTGTTCGATGAGCTAAAGTCGTCTTATTTAGCCAGTTGTAAGTCTGTATACTGCTAAATGCCAAGTCTGTTGTGCAAGTAAATGTAGTAACTTAACATTGATGGCTAATTCATCAATCTGTTAATATGCAATGACATCATCAAATAGGCCGTTCACTTGGCGATGAGCTTAGAAACATCCTGTGAACTTTCGTGGTGAAAAAATCGCCTCCTAGTTGAAAAGAGTAAATATATCCTAATCTCCACGAAAGCGTTTACAGGTATTTATCCTGCCACCTCAAGTGACTCACTATTCGCAGTCACTTACATAGTAAGCATAAATCTACCGAAGACAGTGTGCTTATGGTATCTAGATGTCATAATGCGCCATAAGGAAAAGGCTATATCCATAGAGCTATAAAATTTAGACGCGCAATATTAATCCAAAACACAGCGACTACGGTTCTCAGTGACAGAACTCACCACTTCGCAATGTATTCGTCTAATCGTGTCAACAAATGTTTCGCTAAGAAAAAGAAAACCACTGGTTCGGGTAAAATTTATTTAAAATTTTCTTAAAAGTCATGGACATCCCGTAATTATACCCGTCGAGAAATTGCAAACATCCGATAATTAATAATCCGATTATTTGAACTGAAACAAGCAGTTTGTATTTAGCTAATATTTTCACCTCGAATAATAATCAGCTTCTCAGCTTGTTATAACTTCGAAAAAAACCACCGATTGTAGACCACAATCCGAATCATAATGCTTGCTAATTAAAGTCTTACCTTTATTTGGGACAATTCGTACACTCACCAGATAATCGTATGCATTCCGCTTTTCCAATCTTTTTGAAACATATTGAATGGCTGATAACACTGGATTTGCTGCAGGCAGTTCTATTCCATGTATTTGGATTTAGTACATGAGGCACTAATAACCATAGATTACACTTACCCTTTAGAGGTTTCTGATTACCTTTCGACTTCTGTTTGTCTCCAAAAATATATACAAACACCACATATTCATACATCACATTTGGCTCATCCTTGTTTAATTTAGATTCCCTCACAATATATCTGGTTTTTTAACTGATAATAGAGACACTGATGGTACACTCACCTTCTCGAAAAGCTTCAAAAGCCTTTCAGATTCAACCCAGGTTCTAAATTCTCCAGGTTTGATATGTTCTTCGATAACCTTGTTTATTTCAATTCTTATCATGCTCTCTTCACCTGATCGACTCGTAGATTGCTGCATGCTGCAAACAAGAACGTGAAAAACATTTTTTCCAGATTCCTACACATTAAGTAACCAACTGAGCCAACAGCAATAACGGAAACCAACAAATGAACTGGAAACGACAGCTTCTGTCATCCAAACATGTTCATGTGCATGAATTTTAAAATTTCTACGCAGTGCTATTTCATAGACAGCTGAAAACAAGTAAAACACTAAAACCATGCACAGATGCAAAGCATGAAACAATTATAATGAAATGAATGAGCTGACCTGGTGATAAAACTTCCGAAGGAAACGAAATAACTAATTTTGACAGCAATGGAAACAAAGACGAGGTGAAACGCATTTGTGAACAATGTCCGTCAAGATAAATTGTGAATTATTGCAGGATAAACGTAAAAGACAATGTGTAAATGAACGGTTATCGAACGGCAATCCAACGTGGCCGACTAAAATCGACGAAAGCGACCTTCAGGAGCCTAACTCTTACAGTGACCTCGGGCATGTGGGATAATTTCAGTCTGATACTAAGTTAATTCTGAACTATGCATTGGTAATACCATCTAATGCTGAAGGGATATTTTTTGTGCTTAAAATATCCCGTATATACTAGGGTGACACGGGCTGTTCTTAAAAACTTCACTAGACGCTGAATAAATCTGTCCTGTGCTGAAATGTTGGTGGTTAGAGCTGGCTCAGGGCCAAAGTAATGATGACAAAAATACGATAAAGCGCCAAGCTAGTGAGGACATCGCGGAAGAAAAGCACAGAGAAATATTTCGTGTAGAATATCAAGTCCTTTCAGAATTTTCTCACTTCAGAGAAAAGCGTTAGCTAGTGTAAGTTTTGGTTTTTCTAATTCCTTTACGTTTCCACTTGAGTGTAGGGCTTCAAGCTAGGGGTTTAAAGTTTCGGTAGGTGTTGCTAGCCAGCTTCATGCCCCCAACCTTCCCTTCTTAACCAGTCTCATTGTTGGCCTAGCGAGTTTGGGGAGTGCGTCGGCCGGAAATTGAACCCCACATCACATGCGTGGTTGGCGAGCATTCTGCCGCTATGTCACTGACGCCTGTAAGTTTGGGTACATTATCCAATACACCTCTCTGAAGCACACTCATTTGTTTGGGCTCACTTCCTAGTGGTGAAACAATAGCTTCTAATTTTCAGTGATCTGTGTGATTTTCTCCAACACACACCACTTGTTTTATTAGCAGACCTTAGGCCAGTAGTGCAGGACGTTAAAATATCCAGTATCCTTTTTACGAGCGTGTGTGAAACACACTGGTTTCTTTGGGTTCGCTTATTCGTCACACAGAAAGGTTCCTTGATCTTTGGTAAAATTCCGCGTAATTTGTCCCTCTACTTCATTTGATTGAGTGCATGAGAGGCGGTGCGGAGATTGGTAACGCGTGATTTTCTGTATATTGCGTGTTAAGGCCCTACAGCTTCTGAGGATCAGGATAACCCTCCAACACGTTAGCCATCTAGTACAGCCGATGGAAGAGGTATCAATAGCTGTAGTATAAACAAGTACTTTGGATCATTTAGACTTACAAAGAAAAGCTCACAAACAAATAGATACCTAATGAAATTTATTATTCAACAAGTTAGCAAATCAACAGATGAGGTCAAAAAGCGAGGTAATCGAGAGTGGGCATACATTAGCACAGATAGCCATGTGAGTTCAAAGCGGCTAGTCAATTTTGATTCCGAATTTGTGTTAACGCATGATTATGCAGCCTCCGCTTAAAGCTTTTAGCCAAATATGCAGTAGCCAAAGCCGCTGGTAGAGAATTCAGGGGGCGGAAAACTCGAAGTGAAAAGAAGCGGAGTTGCACTAGTCTTCACTTTGG